TGTCCCGAAAAAGCAGCTCTTAGAGGAGCCTTTAAACTTTCTCCATCTGGAAACTTGATAAGTGCTTTTTTTCTGCATGGTTGCGTTTTTAACATGGAAACTTGATAGAGCTTTCAAGTCATGTATATGAGAAACCTGTTACACAATTGCTCTATTTCAGGGAGAAGAAATGGGTCACAGTTGGAGATACATCATTAAGAATATTTAAATGGGTTCCTGTGGTGGACACAAAGGAGGTACAACACATCTAACATGTTCATTTCTCTTGGTTTTAATTGTTTGAGAGTTAGTTTTTTACATAAGATCAACATATTATCTGTAAAGTAATGGATTTTCCAAACTCCTTCACTGTATTTACCGCACCTGTAACCTGATATCTTTTAGAAGGACAAGAGCAAAGTGTCTGTGGGTGGTGAGATGCAACGGAAGAATTTTTCCACTGAGGAGGCATCTGATAACGCCTGTTCTGTACTGTTAGATTTTCAAGGTAAACATTTGCATGTGAGATTCAAGTTTCAAAGGCATAGTTTACCCAAAAATTAACATTTTACCATAATCAGCTTCTTGTAGTTCCAAACCCGTATTGTTTTCTTTCTTTCTCTCCTGGCTTCTCAGATGAGAACAGCAACCAGAGTTCTCTGTCAGACTCGTACCAGCTTAAAGTAGCTGCAGACAGCAGCAATAACTCCAGTCCACAGCCCAGTGAGCCGGACAGCCCTGCACTTCAGAGTCTAGACTACCGTACAGATGATCCACAGCCGCCCACCCTCGGCCAAGAAATCATGGAAGGTGAGACTCATACCTTGCATTTTTCATTGAGTTTAATGTTAATCTCAGAGCTGAGAGATTCACTAATTTATTATATTATATTACATTACATTATATTATACATTTCTAAAGGTATATCCAGTGTTTTATAAAGCTTGTAATTTTATAAATCTTGCTTAAATATTTAGTCATATTAACCTGAGATTTCACAGTAAGTTGTTTGCCCTCTTTGTGTCATAGTGATTTTGATCTGAACAAATTAATTATGTTTTTATCTCCAAAACTACACATTTCACAGAAGTTCACTGAGATCATTTAGTCCGTTGACCCACTTTTAAAAATTATAACTTTTTTTTTCTAGAGCCGCTGCTGCAGTCAAGTGAGATTGCAGATGAGCCGCCAACACTGATC